GTTTTTTATCTCCAATTTGTTCTCCCCAAAGCTGTCAGAATAATATTTTGACATAATAGCTACTACTTCATTCCACTGTTCAGATTCTTCTAGTAGCTTCCTATTGTGTCTAGTACAACTGCCTCTGTATACCATATAAACTTCTTCAAAGTAGGACTGTAGACTATTTTTTAGCCTTATCATATACCATGTACTTTGTGTTTTAGGCAAACTGACTTTGCTGTTCTCTGAACATATTTCATCACCTACCCCTATGCCTTTTTATAGATTGTCTTTCAAAATAGAATGCAGTGTTCCCCCCACCAACCCTCTCAACCTCTCTTCTGCCTACTAAAATTCCTAGTTTCCTTCAAGGTTCAGTTCATATGCCACTTTCTACAAGATCCCTAGTTATTAATGTTCCTTTTTTCTTCCTCAGATTACCCTGAATAGTCTTAGCAATCAATCAATTAGCATTTAATATGTGCCAAGCACTATGCTAAGCACTTGGGATACAAAAAGAGGCAAAAGACAATCCCCCATACAGCTAGGTGGCACAGTGGATAGAGCACTGGCCCTGGAATCAGGGGGACCTGAGTTCAAATCTTGTCTCAGACCAGACACTTGACACTCACTAGCTGTATGACCCTGGGCAAGTCACTTAACCCCATTGCCTAGCCAAAAAAAAGAGAGAGACAATCCTCACTTTCAAGGACCTTACAATCTGATGGAGGAGACAACATGAAAACAAATATACACAATGTAAGCTCCATTCAGGCTAAGTTGTTGTTTAGTCCTATCTGACTCTTTGTGACTCCATTTGAAGTTTTCTTGGCAAAGATACTGAGGTGGTTTGTCATTTTTTTTCCCAGCTCGTTTTATAGATGAGAAAACTGAGGCTTATGTGACTATGCCCAGGATCACATAGCTAGTAAGTGTCTGAGACCAGATTTGAACTCAGGAAGATGAGTCTTCCTGACTCCACGACCAACCCTTTATCCAGTGTACTACCTAGCTGCCCAGACGGGATAAATAGGAAATAATTAACAAAGGGAAGGCACTAGAATTAAGAGGGGTTGGGAAATGATTCTAGCAAAAGATAGGATTTTAGCTGAGACTTAAAGGAAGCCAGTGAGGTCAGTAGATGGATTTGAAAAGAGAGAGAAATGTTCACAGATTATATTCTCCCAGTAGAATGCAAACTCCCTGAGGGCAGAGAGTATATTTTGTTCGTCTTTTACCCACAATGCCTGGCAAAGTGACCAGAACATAGTTGGTGCTTAATAAATACTTTGAAAATTGGATTGGGCCTCTAGTGTTTCCTTATCTACAGAAGTGAGAGGGGGCAGCTAGGTGTTGCAGTGGATAGAGCACCAGCCCTGAAGTCAGGAGTATCTGAGTTCATATTCAGCCTCAGACCAAACACTTGACACTTACTAGCTGTGTGACCCTAGGCAAGTCACTTAACCCCAATTGCCTTTTAAAAAAATAGAATTTAGAGGTAAAATACAGACAGGAAAGTTGTATTCTTAACATCTGATAATAGGAACCTAGGGATTTATAAAGGAAGTGTATGTATTATTCTTATCTCTTAGGACCCAGGAATTTCATCTGGCCCCACATCACAAATATTCCTGAGCCAGTAGACATGATAGTATGAGAAAATCCAAGAACTTAGTGCTGAACACCAAGTGGAAAATTTAAAAAAAAATTAATCTGATGGAGTGCTAACAGAATCAATAAGTTAATAATGAAAGGCAGTTGAAAGAAAGCTACCCCAATAATTGTCCCTATATATTTGGAAAGGTGCCCAAAAAAGTACTGTAAGAGGCCGTTAAAGGTTATGAATCAGCCCACCAGGGAATGTATGCTAGTGTGTGGACCTTAACATGACCCAAGGATTGAAGAAAGGGAATGATTGAGTAGAAAAACTGAGTAGAACTATTCTAATTCCACAGAGCAGGAAGAAGAGAATGATGCTTACCTCTCAGCCAAAATCCCAGCCTGCCACCACAGCCATTTATTCATGCAGAAATCTTTCCTGCTCAAGATACCACAGTCTACTCCTCAAATTTGTTCAAAGTATGAAATTGTTCAAAGTTCAAAGAATGTTCAAAGAACATTGTTCAAAGAATGACACAAGATGATGGTAATGCCTTCCCAAATGAAGGGTACCAACCGCCAAAGTATGGAGGTGAAAATGGAAATTATGCAACAAATAGATCATGGAATATATTCATGCAACATTTCCAAAAGTTCAGGGACCACTGAGGCAGGTCATATCACAGAGCTGGGAACATGTCTGAGTAGGAAGTATTTTCATTTTGCCTGAAGTGATTCTCCAATTCTGCATTTCTACCTTTACACACTTTTGTCAAACAAATAAATGATTCTGTTGTCCTACCTTTCATCTCAAAGTCCTGAGTTAATTTACAGAGGACTTGAATCTTTTCTTTTTCTTTGGTTGCCAGCAGAAAACTATGTGGTATCATCTTAATTGAGAGGCTAATGTTTATTAGGCTACCTTTTCAGGACAGGTACCTTTTATTCAAATTGCCATTGATAGATTTAATTATGTTGAATGTTCTCAAAAAACAATCCCATTGGCGCAATAAAATATATTGAGTTTGATGTGTTTGGCTGCAAAAACTTTCATTTGGCCAGAGCTACATAGGCTGAAGTCTCCAAGTGTAAATTATAATGTTATTTGAGATGAAGTATAGAGTCATTTGTGGTGCTCAGGCACGACACATGATGTAATCTTATACTCTATCTGCAGGTGTGATATTGGATTCTGCTGGGACAGGCACCTGGTATCAATGCTCAGTTTGGCATTGTTTCAACAAAGCCTACCATGGTTGGAACATACTAAAATAAAATAGAATAAAATAGCACCCAGGGACAATTGATTTTTTTTTCAAAAAAGAATGATGAGCAATGATCACTGATGGGTGATATGGCACCTCATGCTTTTCACTGTCACTAAACAAACTAGAAATATTTTATCTTTCATAGATGTCCTGTCAGTGCTAGGGGAATAATGACTGCAAGCTCATTTTTTGTCATAATGATGTGTTGTTCTTGATATGTCAAGATGATATTAGTGATAGTGGGTTGATTTTGTGAGTAGCGATGATGGAACTGGGCTTTACTCCATATGTATCCTTGGCAAGTGATTTGACTTCTGTGAACTTCAGTTTCCTCATTTGTCAAAGGGGGTTGGAATACCTCTCTTAGTTCCCTTCCAGCTCTAAATTCTATAATCTCCTGACAATCAGGTCTCAACTTTCCAGGGGCATCCATTTGCAAAGTGGTTCTCCCATTGATATTAGGGGTGTGACAAATAATTCATTTGGACCCCTACTGTATTCCAGTCAGTTTGATAGATTACATAAATCATACAGGGATAAATAGGTTCTTATAGTGGGCCTCAAACTTTAAACTAATGTTCACCACTTGTTTACCAAGCTTTGAGGCTCACTTGCGCAATCATAAGAATGCTGACAAAGAGATCTCAATCCTGTTTTACTCAAATTCCAAGTCCAAACCTAGCGTGGGTGCCTCAATGCTTTGGAAAGTCCCCCAATTTATTTTTGTACCTCCAGACCATTCTCTCTTGTCCAACATCAGCAGGTGACCATCTGTGACCATCTCATGACCACTTAGTGAGTGGAAATGCCCCATGCTTCACCCAACCTGTGACCCCCCTGGTAATGTCATTTTTTGACCCTCAAGAGCAAGGTCTATCAACCAATGAGATTCTGTATTTCACCATGCCTCTTTTCATATTTGGAAACCCCATAAAAACAAGGTCCTAGAAAAGGGGGGCATCTCAGATCATGAGGAAGATCTGGGGTCCATGTCATTGAAGGGGACCATGGACCCTTTAATAAAGTGCCATTGGCTCAGAGCTCTGCCTCAGTCTCTTTTGTTATACATTGGACAATTTTAATCCCCACAGAGTTATTGTCTGCAACCTGAAATAGTGGAAAGCTAAAAGTCCTGTGTGGAAAGAACCCATGACCAAAGCCCGGTTAGTACTATGGTCCACTAACTGCACTAGGAAGAATCAGATTCTTGGTCTTCCCTGATCTGCATCTAACATTAAATACTTCCTTTGACAATGGGAGCAATCTTTCTGAAGTAAATATACAACCTAATAAAAAAAAAAGTATTTTGCTTTAGGATGTACTAAAGAAGAAAATATCATTTACCTGATTTTACCTCTAACAACATGCTAACATAAATTAGCATCTCTATTTAAATGGTTCCTTTTATATTTAAAAAAGATTTTTTTTGGAATGGTACTTGTAGCACCAGCAGCTGTGGCCACAGTCCCTGTGGCGCCCCACCCCCAGGCTCCACAGCATGGCCCCAGGTCATGTCCTTACCCTCCTCCTACTCTGCAGGCAGGGAACATTTGTGATGGTCCATAATAGTTTCAAGATGGCTTATGATATGTACACCCAGAGATTATGATTTTCCAACAGCCTGATATTTGCTCTGAAAGAATACAAATGCTCCTAACATCTTAATCACTTGATTATGCAGATAATGAGGTTTCTTCAATGTGATGGGTTGAACTATAGAAACATGGAGCTAGAATATAAAATGCTTGATTTGGTTTTGCTGAAGGAAGATACTAGACTGTCCAGCAAATCATCAAACATATAATGAATTATCTCACTTGCTAGGTTATATTCATTATCTCTCTTGGACTTTGTGGTAACAGAACAGTAAGTGTTTGTTTAATCTTATTGTATCTGCAAACATCATTACTAATGCATAAAGATAATTTCTGAATTGCATCAGAACAAATAGTTGTGTCCTTTATAAGAATCCTGATTTTATTCTTCTGAAAGATTTTGATGATGATTTTTCTCTAAAAAAGAAAAAAGCTTATAACATTGAGACAGTACATACTGATAAGAATGCCAAGAAGAGATTTAATGCTTCAAGCCAGGAGCCATTGTTTGCTAGTGGGTCTTACCCTTCTGTGCATTTTGATATTATCTATATACCTTCTTGAGTATGCTCCATAGATTGGTGGCAATGTTTCTCTTCCTGTTGTCATTAGAAGGAATTATGGCAAAGAGTATTAACAAGCTCTCCTACAAGAACAAGAAGAACATTGTCAAACCAGGGAAACTAACTTGAGACATCAGATTGCCCAACTCAAGCAAGAATTATAGGAGATAAGTGAGAAAATGAGATCATGGCAGGGAAAAAAAAGAACAAAAGAGTAAATATATAGGTTATTAACATGCCAAAGAACAAATACCTAGTAATCTTTTGGCATTTCTTCATTATTAAATTGATAAAGCTGAGGTAGGCATAGGAGCCAAACTACCTAATCAATATGGTGTTATCCCCTTTAAAGTTTTATCTTAATGAAAATCTTCCAATTGGGGAAGTCTTCACATGCTTGGGGTAGACATCCCCCTAACTCACTGACCAGTTTGAGGCCTGCAGGTTACCTTCAACCTTGTTTAGCCCATTTGCCAAGATTGTTTTGCCAGGGTATGGCCACTGCACATGCTACAACTTCTTGGAGCCACAAATGACAGTTGAGTGAGAAGTGGACAGCAAACATGGATAAGCAGGCCTGAAAAGGGCTAAGCAAGACCTCACACCAGAGATGTTAGTCCTCCCCGAACACTCATACACCACGAATGCATTATAATATAAACAACAACCAGCACTATTCAATACTCACCATAGTTTGAAGCTCTCTCAGAGAAGAATTTTTTTTATTTTTCAGATCCTTCTGTGCTCAACACAATTCAGTTATCTGAAATTAGAAGAGAAAGCACATGTTTAATTAAAATCCTCAGTTTTATGAAACTAGAGCAGCAAAGAGCAACTGCCTAGTTTGTCCAATGAGAATCTACTATTTTCTACCCAAAGTTGTTATACTATCTCAGTTGTGGTACTGTACATTTTAGACATGACTTGATTATGTCTTTATATTTGATCAGTTTAATTTCTATCCTGCTAATGGTACAAGCATCACATTTATATTTAGAAGAAAGCATGTTACTTTCAGCTAAATAGTTATGAGACACCATGCTTTTTGTTTCTGGATGACAACTGTGGTCATCAAGTACTTGATTGGTCTTCCTAAGAGAATGAGAAGGCCAAGTAATTAGCAGAGTCTAATTGGCTCACCTATGATCAGAAATTGGAACTTAATACCTTTGAATCAATTTCTTACTTCACCCATGAGTATCTGTGAGAAAATGTGTGGCAATGGGAAATTTACTGAAAAACTTGATTTTAGGTGAGGGTATATGGCTGGATTAGATATGTGATATTAATGTTCCATTAAATTATTAGTCATTACATTCCAAGGTTAGTATCATATTGAAAGAAAGTAGTTACACTATCTTTACATCAAGGAGAATAAAGTATATCAAAGTATACCAAATTTTATCAAAACATTTGAATAATAGCATTATGGAACATTAGTTGAAACAGACTTTGGAAATCATGTAGTTCAATATCCTTATTCTGCAACTGAGGAAACCAGTAATTTGCTGTAGGACACACAACTAGATATGTAGAAGAAAGAACCTGGAACTAGTCTCTCTGCACTTTCAGTTCAATGGTTTTACTCGTACACTTGCTGACTCTATAGAAGAACCTTAAACTATGTTGGTAAATAGTTCTGTACAAAGTAGCAGTTAGTTGTATACATGAATAGCATTTGCTTACGTAAACTAAACAAACGGTCAAGTTATATGAAATTCAGAATGTATAAGGACTAGACATTTAAATTAATAGGCCTTTTTCATCTTTGTATCACTACACATAACAAGGGAAACAACCATTTAATAAGGCATATTTTCTGATGTATGTTGACACACATTGTTCTATGGGAAAACTTGCTCATATAGTCTCTTTGGGCTGATAGGTTAGAACCTCACAGGAAATGATTCTGTTTACATGCAATAAGACTTCATTGATTGGAAAAACAGGAAGTAAACAATGTAACATGGTGAAATATTTCAAATAAATATTTCAAAAACTCCATTTTATTAAAGTATAAATTATAAATTGAGATATAAATGAGTACTACTAATGAGATGTAACATAATGATTTAAAAATCACATTTGTAGTAAAACCTTATAATGTGTCACAAACAAATCATTACCATAACATAAACATATAAGAATTGTTTTATCTGGAAGTTGGAAATATGTCAAAGGAATGCTTAATTTCTTAAAATTTTTGTTTGAAAAGGGTACTGATTTTAGATTGGATTCCCCTTATTTTCACTAAGACTCTGCAAAAATTTAAAGGAAGAAGCATTTTGAACTTTTTATTCAATAAGAATCACACTATATTTGAATTGTTATAAATTCCAAATTAAAAAGATCTGTTAGTTTTTGCTGTCATTTTGACCAATGTTTAATTCACATCTGCTTGAATGAGGTTGTATTTAGACATTTAATTAAGATATGAAAAACATGCTGTTAAAAAATAGTTCTGGACATTCTCTGTACATAAATTGCCTGTTATTTATTGTGAATACCAAAGTATTATGGTATCTAAGATGAAAGAATATTATCATTTACAAAGGTAAGCAGCAATTGTTTCTTTTGGGGGGGGGAGTGTTGTGAGGCAATCAGGATTGAGTGACTTGCCCAGGGTCACACAGCTAGTAAGTGTCTGAGACCAAGGACAGATTTGAACTCAGGTCCTCATAACTCCAGGGCCAGTGCTCTATCCATTGCACCACCCAACTGTCCCAACTGTTTCTTTTTGTATATAAGAATTAAGTATCTTTTTCACATTCGAATAGCTTTTTAATGGGATGGAAAATGTTATTATTTTCAACTTTTCATAGTACCAATAAAGTATTTTTATTACTGAAATACTTTTTGGCTTTTATTTTTACATAAACTTTCTATATCTATTCTTCTCCACGAGCAAGCCATTCCTGTAATAAAGAATAAAAAAAGAAAAGGGAGGGGGAAAAGTGAATAGTTTAGCAGAGCTAGCCCACACATCAAACAAGTTTTCACACTCCTACTTTCCCACACGTACAAAGAAGGGAAGGAAGGACATTATCTTATATCTTCTCCATGGCCACACTTGGTCACTAAAATTTCATGTCACTGAACTTTAGTTTTATTGCTATTTATTTTTTCCATAACATTGGTCTCATCCTTATATATGTCATTTCATTTTTTTTTATTTCTGCTAGCTTCTCTTTGAATCAGTTCACATAAAAGTCTCTCAGTGATTTTCTGTATTCATCATATTATCATTATCATATTATTATTATCATTATTAATCACTTACCATGTTTTGCTTAGCCATTCCCCAATTAATGAGCATAAACTTTATTTCCATTTCCTTTCTACTACAAAAGTGCCCGTTAATTGGGGGACTATTACTGTGCCTATATGCAGTAGGAAAAGCACTGAAAAAGGCATTTGGAGTACGTGGCTTGGTTAATTTCCACTGATCCATGAAATCACAGCAACCTAGGAGAAAGAACTCCCAGGCATAGCAGCAAGGAATGAAAAGTCTGTCACCACCATCACCACTGTCTTAGCTTCAAAAGATCCTGGGTTCTGAAGTCTCCTTTTCTCAAAATGACAAGAATGAGGGAGAGACATGGGAATAGTGTTTTAGAAGTCCAAGCTTTAGCTCATGAAAACCAAAAAAAGAAAAATAGGAATCCCTGCATCTATTTCTTGACTTTATGTTCCTTTCAAGTCTTCACACCAAAGTCAACTTTCTCCCATTTCTTTTCAGCCACAGAAGTGCTGATATACAAAATATTTCTTTGAAAGGTTGATAAATAATTATTAGTGATGATTGTGGGTTATTTATTTGATGCCATGTTACTGAACATTCCTTATTTCTTAACCCGGGGTCTGTGAACTTTCATTTAAAAAGTATTTTGATAACAGCATTTTCATATAATTGATGTCTTTTGCAATTCTATGTATCTTATGCATTTGAAAACATAATTCTGAGAAGTGTCCATAGGTTTTACCAGATTGCCACTCTTGTTCTGGGTAGAGAGGTCCTGCCTTGATTTCCATGACACTGTGCTCTTCTGATTCTCCTTTTGGACAATGGTTTGTCTATCTTCTTTGCTAGCTTTTCTCCTTCATCAACATCTCCCCCATGACTCCATCTCTAGTCGTTCTCTTCCTAATCTAGATATTCTTTCTTGGCAACTTTATTTATAACCATGATTTAAGTTTTAATTTTTATGTGGCTGGTTCTCCAATCTTCATTTTCAGCCATGACTTTTCTTCCCCAATTTTAGACTCCCATTTCCAGATGGCCATAGGACATCTCCACCTGAAAATCATGACTACATTGCAAATGAAACATCAAAACATGCTTTAGCAACTGACTCTTTCGATGTATTTCTGCTTCCACCATCCTAGTTCAGGCCATTGGAGCAATATCAGGACTATTGCAGTAATATCCTATCTGGTCTCTCAAACCTCAGACTCTCCCCAACCAAAGTATGATAGATAGATAGATAGATAGATAGATAGATAGATAGATAGATAGATAGATAGATAGATAGAGTTATGTATAGGTAAATACACATACACATACATATATACATACACAAAATATATATGTAAAGTATACACATATATATGTACATATATATAAATATCTGCCAGATTAATTTTCTTAATTAATAGGTATGATTACATCAATTCTCTGCTCAAAAACATTCAGTAGCTCCCCGTTACCTACCAAATAAAGTGTAAACTGTTTAACTTTGTCTTCAATGCTCTCCACAATCTGGCTTCAATTTTCCTTCTAAATTTCTAAACTGCCTACACAATAAGTAGCTGGTGAGCCATGAAATGAATTAGTTCATTCCTATAGCACTTACCTCACAAGGTTATTGTGAGAATCAAATGAGACAATGTACATAAAATGCTTTGTAAACCTTAAACCACTATATAAATATCAGTTGGTATCATTAATGTCTTATTGCATTCCAGTTGCTTAAAGGGATACTCATGAGAGCATGCTAAAGGCAAAGCAAGATCACTAAAGTAAGAAGCATGGATTCTGGGCATTGTGACTGGATTGGACTGTTATTGGAAAAGTAACTTTCTGTGATGTAGGAGAAAAAAATTTCTCTAGGATTTTGCTGGCATCTGCCCTTGAGAGAAACCACATACCTTCAAAAGTGATTGGCCACAAAACTCCCTGGAAAAAAAAGCCTGGAATTCAGGCAAAAGGGCAAGTTCCCCTGCCTTGTCACTAATCTGTCATGGCACAGATAGAGAATAATGAGAACTAAAGAGAAGGAAAATGTTATAAATCTAATGGGGATTATGCCAACTTGGTTTCCTTCACCAGGAATCAGAGGGAAATTGAACATATTTTGCCCACCTACCTTCTCTTTTCTTGGCCTTTCCTATCAAATGACATCATGAGGGTTGACTTTGGTGTGAATATTTGAAAAGGATATAAAGCTAGAAAATAGATTCAGGGATTCCTCTTATTCTCTCTTGGGGCTGTCATGAGCTGAAGGTTTTGGATTGGGGGCTTGGACTTCCAAAACACTGTTTCCATGTCTTTCCCTTCTTCCTGTCATTTCAAGAAAAGGAGCCTTCAGACCCCAGGACCTTTTGAAGCTAGAAAAGTAGTAATGATGGTAACAAAATTTTTATTCCTTGCACTCTGCCTAGAAGTTCTTTTTCCTAGGTTGCTGTGATCTCATGGCTCACTGGAAATTAACCAAGTGATGTGCTCCAAATGCTTTTTTCAGTGCTGTTTCCACTACACATAGG